CAGAACTCGCTAACGGTATGTCGTATGGCTACCAAATTTTCAGAGGATGGTGTACTAGTTAAAATTTATCATATCTACAATTTTTTTGTCATTATGACGTAATATGACGTCATTATGACGTCATTAATGGGATTTTATTGGCCAAAAACCGTCTAGATAGGCTATTCCCTGAAAACTAAATGGTATTCAACATAACTTTACCAAAAGTGTTTATGACAGAATATTAGTGTACTAAGTCTTATGTTGCCCATAGCAACACCGGTGACGTCATAAAATGACGTCATACATATTTAAGATATCCGCCATCTTGGATCATCAATGTTGAATTTTCAAAAATAGTTTTTTTTCGTGATAAAGCCTAAAATACATTGTAAACATACCAAAGACCTTCATTTAAACCTTTTTTGGAAAAAGAAATGGAAGTATTGATGAAATTTTAAGGAAAATAACTTGTATATACCTCTTCTAATGATATGGTCCGCCATCTTGGATTTTGGCCAATGACGTCATTAAATTAGCATAAATTATGCATGTTTAATGATAAAATTAACATAAATTCATATGGGATGTTATTAATATTAGAAACCATGAGTAACTTGACATAAAACCCATAAAATTCTATTCTTGAAACAAAAATTACTAAATTTAGCAAAAAATGCCTGTCAGAAACCCGTTGCCATGGCAACACAAAAAATTATTATCTTATTCCAATGATAGAAAATTGTTGCCAACAATATTTTAGGAAAAGTCACCAAGTTTGGTAATTTTAGCCCTAGCCATTCAGACGCTATGTGACATCAAAGTTGGCGCGGGCACTTTTAGCCCCCCCCCGGTCTAGATAGGGTTAAAACAAAGACCACGGCTAACAGATAGAAAATTAGATCAGGGGATCACGTTTTTCTGTCTATTAAGAATTTTGTACCGCACATTTCCTGACGTCTTTCAGTAAGTTAATATTCACGCGCAAATTTTTCACGCGCGCGAATTTTTTTTTTACGTGCACAAAACCCCATCTCGAATATTGTGGTTTAAATACGATCATAAACTGGTGATTCTGTTGCCCTGAGTACCTGGGTACCCCTATACCCCCACAAGAGGCGTGCGCGTGATGAAGAGGAAAGGAAAGGGGATTCGAGTCAAATATCGGGACAGTTATTACAGTGGAAGGGGCCACATTATCGTTGTGTACACAGTTGACTTTTTTTCTTTTATATCTGCACAAGAGTCGGTTACCACTTATAACGGAGGACAGCTGACCACTTTTGTATACTGCTTGAAAACTATCACCAGTTTGCAGCTCAAGAATGACGAAATCGCCTCACGGCTCTCCCCTGGAAGTCTTTAGCAGCAGTCTGAGAAGTTATCTGCCAATAGACTGAATGACACTGACTAATTTCTGACTACTTGTGAGACATAACATTTCCTCACCCGCATACTCAACGGAAAATCCTGCGCCGCCTACTGATCCGTCGGAGACGAAGACAAGGAACATGGTCCTCCCACTGGCCACGACCGGCGACGGAATTGTGCTGCCGCAGAATTTGCCGAGGGAGTCTGAGATGGAGTCGGCGCCGTCACGCACCTGCAGGTAGTCGTAAACACACCCAGGCTGTTCCTCTACGTCCAAACTTGTAAACCTGCATGAGGTTAACGTTCAACATCAGCATATAACATAGCAAAAGGCTTGCAATAATTATCGTGAAATTAACATATGATAGATAAAAAATGTCAACCATACTGTCAATCGTTCAAAACAGTTGCAAAATGACCAAAAACATTCCGTAAGTCTCAAGAAAAATATTGGAAAACGATACCAATGTCATGGAATGCCAAAATCAAACGAAAAAGATAAACATGTAAAGAAATGAAGACTAGAGTATTTGCCATACATTACACTGTGTCATTTGTTTAACCTTCAAAACCACGTAGATTTCAAAATGAAAGCAACTTTTTTGCCAAACTGTTTTTTATTCGCACGCCTGCATCAGTTTTGGGGTTCCCAGAGGTCATTCATATAATCAAATCAACATGGCCTCAATAGAATAAATGAACAATCAGTAATGTTACTACTTTCTGCTAGTTTGTGACTTTATAAGGGCGATTGTCTCCATATGTATATGTCATTGGTTATCTCAGACTGGGTTGATTGCTTCACTTAGTTTAACATGATAGGTTAAACAGACTGGATAAGGTTTACATATAACCACCAAATAGAGCACGTACATGTACCTTTAATTTAAAACTGTCACATGTTATAAACAGCACTAAAAAGGCCATGAGACTAACTTCAAAGGACTAAGCCTAACGGACTTACCTGATGGTGGCCCGCCTTCCCCTGCTGACTGTTATCGTCCAGGAACACCGGAGGTTGGGTTGGTACATGCCCGGGTATCCAGGGGAGGTGATTGTACCGGAGTCTCCGCTCAGTATGGCAGGCTGGCAGCCGGAGTACTGAGCTGAGGTAAATAGAAGGTGAAAACACAGTCATGGTTACATACAGCTAGCATATATGCCGACATGCCACAGCAAGAAGAAGTGAAATTGGAATAAGCTTGGGTCCGAACACATGAGAACATTGTCAGTGAACAATGCTGTAGGGTTTTACTGAAATGAAAATCCTGTCATGATTATCAAGAAAGTTTGTTAATCATGGGCCATGATTAGACGAGGGCCTTGCCTAATCATGTACCCGGCGTACGCCAGGGTACCGCGATTAACAAGGAGTTCGCCCCAGAGTATGCGACCAAGCCTGCAAAGCCGCGCTATGCTTGCTGGGAGCTGGCGGCGTAGGATGACCTGACGGCCCGCCCCATTCAAACCGCACCCAGGTACGTATATGTGTGTTTGACTTGGATTTTGATGATTCATAGTTACTATTATACCGTATTTATATTTGGTATTTTAATCTGATTAGACACTTGCTTAAACGAAAGTTATGGCTCGACTGGAACTTCACGGAATGTTTTCAGAAAATCATGAATCGTCGAGCTCGAGGTGAACTTAGGTACATGTATGGGGAGGGGGGCGAGTGATGCAAACTTACTCGATAACATTTGTGTGCCGTCTGTTATGCTGGGTCTGTTATAAAATATAAAGTCCTAGGGTCAGATTTCATGGCCGGACCTACACGTCCCGGGTTTGGGAGAGACCTGCGTATTAAATTTTTATCTGAGGTCAAATAGTATATATATATACGTCCCTACTCGTGTGTCATCTTTCAGCCGCCAGCTTTTTCGGTGAATTATAGACCGGCTAGAAGAACAAAACGAATACATCTGATGCAGCAGTATAACGTTAGATATGCTATAGCCGCAGGTGCTCCATGAGCGGCCGGAGGCGTCCATAATTTGGTCCTATATATATGTGTGTGTGTGTGGGGGGGGGGGGGGTGGCTGGGGGCGTGCGTGTTTTTGTGTGACTGACAACATATAGTTAATGCAATGCTCTCACCATTTTCTTACAATATATAATTATATATACATATATATTCTTTTGCAGGGCCATAAAGAAATACCACTTAGCCATGGAAAGCATTGAACACATGAAGCTGTGTGCAGAAAGCAGACCTTGGAGAAAGGGAGGATGGAAGTAGTAGTAATTGAACACTTGCTTCAAAAAGATTTCTGCAAAAGGCTTGCTCTCAGGGCAAGTGAGAACATGGGAAAAGCGAGACTTTCTGAAAAAGTTCTTCCAGACACTCCCCCGGTAGCAGCGGTCTTCAGAAATATAATGGTACAGCCAGATACAGGCTGGCCAGTTAATTGATACTGTCTTACCCCCAT